TGACCGAGTACGCGGAGAGTACTCCTAGCTACGCGGTGCGTAGCCTCGCAACCCCAAATTCTTCGTTAAGTGCCTAATAGCTTCAAAACATAACTACATACTTCAGATCCAAAGCCAGAGGCATACTAGGGTCATAAAGTTTCCAACTTTATGACTTTACACATCCATAAAGTCGTTAACACAAGTTATTAATCCATTAAGACCTTCTACAAGATGCATGGAGAAAAACTAGCTAAAGGGACCTCATTTTTATGGCTAAGGACCCCTCCTAGGGTCTAGAAGGACAGCTCAAAAACGACAATAACCAATCATGCATAAAAATGGGACCTTTGAGACAAGAAGAACAACATAAGGATCCCAAAATGAGATATAATCAATCAATGCAACAAGGTGAAAACTTTTTTACCATCTGGAGCTCCTTAGGATGGTAATGATCCACAATCCACAAGCTTGCTTCCACTTCTATGCTCCTTGATGCAACTCTTTCTTCCTTAAGCACTCGAAAAACACACTTTTTAGCTTAAACACTCTTAAGGGATTAGGGTTTGCCCAAAAATGACTCAAAGGATATGCAGGCTAAAAAGGTAGGGAGAAATGAGCCATAATGATGCTTATATACCACCTAAACCCTAAAAATTAGGGTTTTCTCCTGACAAGAGTATGCCCCGAGTACATGAGTGTACGCCCAGCGTACTAGGGCGCGCCCTAGTACACTCAGCGTACCCCCATGTACGCTTAGCGTACTCATCCTGCTAAATTTATGAAATTGCCACCAGGCTTCAACGCTCATTCTCATGGACTTAGGGAATAAAATGTCATATGATAAAATCATAGGGATGAATTTGGAATTACCTGAATCTCGGGATGTTACACATAATCACTGTTCACTTCCGAATCACTACGAGCTTTGGTGGCTATCTGAATTTACTGTTCATTTCCGAATAATTCTAAGCTTCAGAAGTATTCTAAAGTAACTGTTCACAGCAGAATTGTTTTGATCGTCAACATTTGTAAGTATTTTCTTTGTTTTTGCATTTATTTTTCAAATATTCAAAAATCCAAAAATATTTTCTTTGTTTTTTCATTTATTTTTCAAAATCCAAAAATCCAAAAATATTTTCTTTATTTTGGCATTTATTTTCAAAAATTCTAAATTCTAAAAATATTTTCTTTGTTTTTGCATTTGTTTTTCAAAAATTCAAAAATCCAATATATATATATATATATATATATATATATATATATATATATATATATATATATATATATATATATATATATATATATTTGCATTTATTTTTCAAAAATACAAAAATCCAAAAATATTTTGTCTTCTTTAATTTTGTTTTTGAAAAATCAAAAATATCAAAAATATTGTATTTCTATGGAATTGACGGTCGATATCGTACATTCTTTCAACTATAACTTTTCAAGACTTTCATGTAGTTCCTTGATTATTGAAGTAATACTTGCTTTGGTATAGGGCTATAAATATTCAATGTTTATGATCGCAAGTCATTGATACCATGATTTGCGTGAGACCCACTAACCATTCTTTTCCAATCTCTTATTCTCCATTAATTCTAGTTCATATATTGTAATCCTAAGATTCCTGGTAAAAACCAATATGGGTTGAGATTATAGAAACATCTGTATTCATGATCTCGAAGTTTTTATAACCATGACTTCAATGAAACCCAACACACAACTCCTTAATGAATTGACGGTGAACAACTTATTGTTCTAGATTTTTATTTAATGAATTGACGGTATACTAATTTTTTTTGGATATCTCAAATATTCTTTTGCATGATCTTAATGAGATGATTGAATCCATATCATTTCTTCCAAATAGATCCAGTGTTTACATTCAAATTTTGAGATCTTTCTTTGATTAACCTCGGTGTTACATCCTATGAGCCATGTTAAATTTTTATCTTGATTCGGATCACATCAATTAATCAAGGTTTCGCATTTGTATCTCAGCTCTTATATTAAGATGCATCTATAAATGGAAACAAGCCTACCCAAGAGACTTATTAAAAGAGGCCTTTCGCAATATCTTAACAAATTGGTGATCGTAATTTAACGGGAAACCAGACAAGCACTTCTAAGTCTCTCTTGACTAAGATGGAAGAGATCGTAGCCCGGGATCATACTGTTTTCATATCAAGTAATTTTGATATCACAAATCCCACATTATTTTTAATTTGCTTCATTCTTTTTCTTTAGCACACACTTGCACTAAAATCTTTGTGATTTAACAAACTCTGGTTTTTGTTCTAAATGGTGTTACAATTCTGAAGATGAATCTTGATTATAATTCCAATGGAATCTATTTTGGCTTATGCAAAGCCGAAGGGTGGATCAATGATTCTGAAATGCTGCAAACCGAAACAGGGATGTTCAAAATAAATATAATTCAAATGATGGCGCGTACTTTCGTATTCTCTGACGTGTGCTTTGGAAACTCAAATGGCGCTTAATGGTTACATGGAAATGTTGAGTTGGCATTTAGTTATTGGTTCTAATTGAGACGTGAAAGTCATGTGAAGTAGCGATTTTCTCTCACCACTTTTTTTTTTGTTTAAAAGGAAAATATAAAAATTCATTTTCTACCATTTCAACTAAAGCTCAGGCGGTTATTGAAAATTTTATCTACTGTTCATCATCTTTTTCAATAATCATGACTTCATCTGAGCATATTTCTTTTGTTGATCAGTCTACTTCAACTATTATGTTGAACATCAAAGCAAATCAAAACCTTATTGCTGATCTCGATGCTTCAAAATACAACACGCTGATCAAACCCTTAATCGAATGTTTATGTTATTCACCATTAATGAAGGCTTTGACAATGCATGAAGAAGTTCCTCTTGTTCATCTCTCAAAGGCGTATTCTACTGCAATTTACAATAAACCACTAGAGATTATCAATTTTAATGTTTTTGGGCAAAAAACTTCAATTTCGAAAACGCAATTTTGTTAATTTCTAGGGCTTCAATTGTCTACTGATTCGGTTCATCCAGAATCGATTCAAGCCACAAGAATGATTGAGATGTTTTTCCAAATGGGGTATACTTCTGACATTTCGTTGCTCTCTAAGTTCATAAAATCATTCTTGCCACCAATTTGGAATGGTTTGTTTACCATTTTCTTCAAAAGTTTATCGGAGGGTTTCAAGGATCTGACAGTGCAAGTAAACTCTTTTACACACTGATTTATGGACTTTTCACTGGAACAAAGATCGATTTTGGTATAGTTCTATGGATTCAATTTGCTCAAAGTGTTAATTCGGCTACTCGACACATGAAAATTTCTTGTGCTCGATTTTGGTCAATTGTGGTTAAGAGAGCTCTTCTTCACTACCAAGTTTTGGAGATAATGGATTCGTTGACAGCAGAAAATCCAATGATGTAGACAACAACGTTTGTTATTACTGATCCGAGGAATTTTGATTTTATTGGATCAATTCTTGAAGTGATGAAGGAGAAAGTTCCTTTGAACAATGCAATTATTAGGGATTATCGGAAATTTCTTGCATCTGGTGTTCGCGAACTTCCTATTGAATTCAAGAAGATTATTGAATCTGGTGATTTACCGAAGCATGGAGGAAAAAGGAAAGCTAAAGCAGTTGCAACTGTTGTTGTGAATGTTTCTAAGAAACTCAAAAAGATGGTGAAAAAGCCAAAGTCACCACTGCCTGTGTTCGAACACGATTCTGATGAGTGAACATATAGTGATGATCAAGGAGAAGATGTGATCAGAAATGATGAAGATGATAGTGCTAATAATGTTGAAATTTCAATTTTTTCAGAACCTTCTACAACAGAAGCTTCTCCGCAGGTATCCACTTCACCATTTTCATCTGTTCCACCTGAGTCAAATATTTTTGAGAATATTGATCCATTTCTGAATTTATCTCAAACTCCACCGCCACCTCTTTTTCCTACGTCTACTTCTCCATCATCAATTTCGGTTTCATCCATTTCACCTTTACCAAAATTCAGTTTAGTAAATACATCTCAACCTCAGATTTCTATATATTTGTCCAATCCAATCTTTACTGAATCCACTACGAATCCTACAACATCATCAACTAAAAATGCACCAGAAGGTTCTACTTTCGAATGCAATAAGGAGGAGAATAGATATTTAGGAATCCCTGGTAATACATCTAATGTGGAATCAAATGTCAATATTGGTGTATCTATCGAAAACATTCCAACTTCAAATCATGATGATGATGTACTTTTGGGGATGATTCAGAACCTATCGATGATTTGGTTCTTCCATCATTTACTGTGAAAGTTGATACTGATAATGATGATGCTCCAATGATGAAGGGTAAGTTCAAAGAGTTGAATTAGAAACTTGATTCAATATTACTTCATACAAATACTTTTTCTACTTCGAATCGGGAAAATCTTGTGATGACTCATTTGGCTACAGTTGAGTTGTTAACTTCTACAAATGCAAAGGTTCACAAAGAAACAAGGAAGATGGCTGAAAATTCTGCAAAGCAAATTTCCGAAGCAACTGAGAAACTTGAAAAGCTTTTGAATGAAGTATACGAGTTTATGAAGGATTTCAGAACTTCTTCGGATATGAGTGTTGCTGATGTGAACAAAGTAATCTAAGGCTTTCGTATTTCATTACAATCGGAGAAAGAAGCATTGTCCAATTTATGATTTGAAATTCAGAAGGATAATGCAGATCATCACGCGTCTATTTTATATACAATTTTTCGCATGTATAATGATCTTGTTGCTGAAAACAAAATTATGGATGAACCATCTTTACAAACTCAGAAGGTGAAAGTTTTGAAGGAGCAACTCAAAAATGCTTATATTAATCTCGGAAAAATTCAACAAGAGATGAATTTGGTTCAAGGAAGAAATTTTTAAATCACCAAACGATTGTTAACAATTGTTGAAACGAGGGATAGTCCATTTGTTGATTACATTGGTCAGATAATTGTTGGCAAGTTGAAACCGATCATGGAAAAGCTGAATAATATTCGTAGTGTTCCGAGAAGCAAGGATTCTTCGAAAAAAGGGGGAGAACCGAAGGTGAATATTAAATACCCTTATCAGACAGGCTTCCTGGAGAAAACATATGATGTTGATAGAGTTGTGCTTGAAAAGAAGAAGCTTTCTGAAAAGATGAAGGATATGAAAGAAGTTAAAACTGGTCGGAAGGTTAATATAACTTTTGAATTAGGTAAAGAAAATATAAATATTGTTACAGAGGAGGTTTCTGAATTAAATCCTCACATGACTAAGAAGGAAAAGATTGAGAAAGAAAAGAGAGACAAGGATCTAGATGAGCTTAATGCCTTAAAGGTGAAATTGGATGCTGAAGATGCTGAGCTCAAGAATGCTAAACAAATTCTTGCAAGCAATAAATCATTATTTCCTTAATGGACGCTTGATCGGATGAAAAAAGATGCAATTGATGCTCAGAACTTATTTTGGTTGGAACCAAATACATCCTTTGATACTAACAACGATTTTGAGTGTTAGGTGGATTTTCCGATCACTCCCAGAGTTTTTCTATTCCGATGCTTTGAAAATATAGATAAAGTTCCTCTATAAAATGTTGCAACAAATAAGAAACTCTTTTTGTTTTATCAGAAGTTTTCTAAGCCACACTACGAATCCTGGAATTTGCAAAGGATTGTAGGACTCAAGGTTGGGCTTCCTGAGAAGGTTGATGTGTTTCTGAATATATACTTCAAAGCTTACAGAGGCCACAATCTTATCATTCATGAGTTGACTTTGGTTGACTTTCCATTTCTAAGCCCTTATGATTGGATTTCTATGTTCTATATTGTTGCGGATGATGTGGTGAAGTATGATCCAATTTATCAACATTTGAGGAAAATGATCAAAACTTATATTCTTGAAATGTCAAAGATGGATGTTGAGATTGCAGCGGTGCTAAAAAGAAAACCAATTATGAAGCCTTTTGATCAACCTGACAATATTGAAAATATTAAGGCTAGAACAATCGATAAAGAAAAATCGAGTATTACCTACAAGTCACGGAAGGATAAACGGATCAAGATATTTTTGTTCTTCTTAAGAGACAAGCATTTGTATTCTACAGCAACTTTGAGTCAAATATTAGCGAGAGAAGAAGTGAACAAGATAAATCTAGCTTAAGATACGAAGTGTGTTTCCGATATGATAAAGTGGTACATAACTATCAGAATGACTATTTTGAAGATTATTCCAAAAGTTTTTGAAGTTTAAAAGAAGGAAGAAATAAAGACTACAACTGCTACAAATTGACACAAATGGGGAGATTGTTAGGTTACGGAAGTTGTTGTGTCAATGTTATAGTGTTCTGAATTGTATTAGTCTTTTTTCTTAATTTCGAAGTTAGTATGTTGTTTTCGGAATTTATGTATCCTTTCAAGTTACTCTTTTCACGCCTTATATATAGAGGACTTGTTAGTAGAATAGGCACGTTGTTCTTAGGATCATTTCACATAATAGTTCTGAACTCTTGTAACAAACTGTTCTACAGTGCTTATTAATCAAATCAGATCTTATTTACTCGCTGTTCTTCAAATCGTTTATCTCATTTCTTGTGTTGACATTTTTGTTATAGAATCTTTCGATCATTAAATTCTATCACCAAAAAATGTGCCGTATGCTTTCCCACATTACGATACATTGCTTTGGAGATTTTATGCACCACGCTTTTTGAAGATGCGAGTTTTTGTTTTACACTTTTATTCGGAGAATTTATGAGTAGCTGCCGAAGTCTAGTTCCGGTATAAATTTAATATGTTGAAGCTTTTCATGCAAATTTCAGATCTCGCCACTACTACCCCATGGAAGGTTGTTCCAATTTCTCCTCTTTAATGTTATGTTCTTTTATTGCTTTAGTATTCAATGGGGACATTGCATCATTTAAGTGTGTGGTAGGGGTTGAATTTAGGAATGCAAGCATACTGATACATTTTTTTTAAAATGTGACTAGGATTTAAAAAAAATATTAAAAAGATTTGAAATAATAATCTAAAACTGAAGCAATTAAAAAAAATATTAAAAAGATTTGCTAGCATTGTGTGGGACAATCCGATGCGAGTATCAATGTTTATTTGAGCCAGTATATGTTATAGTGTATTTGTGGCTTCCCTATCCTAGTAAAATCATGGAAAAAAAACACGACCTTGCTCAGTTTGAGGGCCACAATACGTTTAGCATCGTGTACCAGAAATGTATCTAGGATACCTTATGTAGTCATTGCACCATAGACTAATATCTCTAATCAATAAGGGTTGAACTTAAGTTCCCTTGCTTAAGCATATGTTTTTATTTTTAGGTTTTTAGTTTGATATAAAAAAGCGAGAAGGTAAAAGAAAAAAGAAAGTAAAAAGTTGTGAAAAAAAGGAAAAAAAGTTGCAAAGTTGTTGAGTGAATAAGAGTTATCAAAGTATGAACATCTTGAAGAAAGTGAAGAAATCAGGAAAATTGACAAGTTATTTTATGTTGTAATTTTTCTTTCTAAGTTATTTTACCATATGTATGCTTGGGAGCTTAACCAAAAATAACTTGAGGTTAAAAGAGTTTTCTAGGGATATATTCGGACGGATGCATAAAATGAGTGTTGTTCAAAATAAGTGGGAAAGTGTTTATGAGGATTGTAAGTATTTAGGAATGGGGAGGTTTTTAGGAAATTTAGAAACAAATCCATACATTGCGGTCTTGATGTAATGGAGAGGCTCAAAATGGATTGTCTTGTGCAATGTTGGTAGCTAGGTTTTTAAAATGATGATAACAGAAATTAGTTTTGCTTGGGGGCAAGAAAAAGATAAATGTGGGGTATTTTCATATGGCCATATCTATATTTAGGCATTGTTTTAATAAATTTTTTGCTATATTTTGGGTATTTGCAAAGTTATGTGGTACTTATTGAGTTAAATTGCATTTTGCAGCCAAATATGACATTCTTGAGGAAAATTGACTAAAACTAACAAAAGTTGAAACCTGGAAGGACTGAAGCTAAGTTGGGAGCCTAATTGAACATAAAAGAAGAGAAAATTGAGTTAAATAGAAGCTCCTGATGTTAGCCATTACTGCTCACAACATGAGAATGAAGATTCCAGAAGATAACTACACATAATTTAGTTTCCTTGCCGAACACGGATTATACAGAGCTCACGACGTGAGCCATTACTACTCACGAGCTAAGACATGACATTTGGAAACTATAAATATTCCTTTTAGCCATCGACTTTTAGGAGGGTGGATCTGATTTTCTGGATAGATAATCGATTTTAGAGGCTAGAGATGTGCAAAAAACAACTCCTTGGTAGAGAGAACACTATGAGATTGAAGATTTGAAGATTACACTTCACATTCATTTTGCATTAGATTAACAATGTTGAATTCTTATGTTTTTGTGTGCTTATTTTCTGCCATTGAATAGCTAATCATTAGGCTTTCGTTTAGTGTAGATAAACCCTAGAACTATATGTTAGTTTCTAACTTATATTTGCATTTTAAGAAGTTGGTTAATGCATGTGTTTGATTATCATTACCTAGCATGTTAAACTTTGCATCTTTATTGCTTTGAATTAAGTTAGATGTAGTTTAAAGACTATTTGAATTGAATGAATTTGTTTACCTAGTAGTTTATGGTCATTAAATTTCTAGATCTAGGATTAATCACATCTTAGATTAAGTAATAAAAATAACAACTTTAGTTGTGTTGGAGAACATTAAATTGATCATAATTATGTTTAACTTACATATATCTTACATAGCCCAATTATCATTAATAATCAATTATGTGTTTGCTTGTGATCAGTACATAGTATTTCACAAATTGGTAAAAATATTAGGAGATCGGATCAAGACTGCTAATTACATTTAAATTGGTAACCAACTGAATAAATCCATACTTAGAAACTTCATATAGTAAAATGGGGATTCGAAACTAAAACGGAAGTGTCTTTTAAATCGTGTTCATAATCGTTTTTAGTTGAGTGTGTGCTTAGTTTTAAGTTAATCTGAACTTCCAAAATCAGATAAAAAAACCCTCCTCTTTATTATTGTTTTTAGCATAATTTTTTAGTAATTATTTTATTAGCTAAATCTGTTCCCTGTGTTCGATACCCAACTTACCTAAATTATTTCTATAAATTTGACTAGGTATACTGTCCAAGTGCAATTAGTTGGTTAAGTAGGTTAGGATTATTAATTTAAAGGGAGATGATGAACTGTCCAAGTGCACGAGAGTAACATTCAAATATTAAGATATATGTAATCAATTATGTGTTTGACTAGGTACACTGTCCAAGTGCAATGAGTTAGTTAAGTAGGTTAGGATTATTAATTTAAAACAACGTAGTATATAAATTGCACATCAGGTAAAAACAGAATAAATTTTTTAACCTGATAGTTTCTTAACACATAACTAATTAAGTCATTGCAATGGTGTGGATGACATATGGAATGACATGAATAAACCAATTGTTTCCGAGGTAAAGTTTGCACCTTTTTTTAGAGAAATTAAATATCCTTCTACTTTTCTTCCTACATATTCTCCTACCCATTTGAAATGATGACAAATGTATTAAATTACTGATAATCTTATCCAAATATAGCACATGTCACCATTTTACATTGGTAGGAAGATAAGTAGGAAGAAAATGTAGGAGGATATTTAATTTCTCTTTTTTTTATAATCTTTCTGATTCATTTTTGTTATTATTATAACTTTATCTCATTATATTTGTATTCTTTTTTCCAGTCTATTACAAACACAATGCACGAGAGTAACATTCAAAGGGAGATGATGAACTTGGAGGTCATCAAAATCACTTGCACTATCACAATATAATCTACTCTAATTAGTTTATATAATTCTCAACTTTTACTATTGTAGTTCGGATTTAGGTTTATGGCATGATATGCCAAGCTCAACATATGAATGCATGAAATTAGTCGATCCAAAAAAGAAAATGTCATTTTGTTCTACATAAGTTGGTGTTATAGATAGTCAAATGTATGATTTTCCTTGGTAGACAATAAGTGATTAGGTTGAATTTGACTTAAAAGTTGCAAAAGATGGAATCGTTTAATTTTTTTTTGTAGGTAGTGTTTTTTATTTATGATAGAATCATGGAAGGTATGCAATGTTTTATTCCACTGAAGAGAAAAATAAAATGTATTTTGTTTTTGTTTTATGCAAAGAAATTTTTATTATCTTTTACGAGTATTTATCATAACAAATGTGCCAAAAAATATTGTTTTGTGTTGTGGCAAATAAAAAAAATGCCACTAAAATTTTAAAATGTGTAACTAAAAAGTAGCATGAATTATTTAAGCAAACGAGTATTAAATAACACAAAATATATGTCACACAAAACTTTTCTTTTAATATAACAAATAAAAAATGTCAC